ATTAATCCATTCATGAGGGATCCGCCCCCATGACTCAATCAGTTTCCAACACTGCCACATTGGAGATCAAATTTCCACATGAGTTTTGGAGGGGACAACACATCCAAACTCCATCACTTAGTCATCACCCCCTAACATCTCCCCAGCCCTAGGCAACTATTAATCTTTCTGTCTCTATAGATTTACCTATTCTGGGCATTTCATAAAAGTGGAATTAAAAATGTGTTCCTTCGTGACTGGCTTCTTTTACTCTAGAATATTGTTTTCAAAGTCTATCCAGGTTGCAGCATGTATCACTACCTCATTTCTGTTTCCTGCCAAATAATATTCCATAGTAGGAATATAGCACATTTTATTTATCCATTCATCAGCTGATGGACATTTGAGCAATATCTACTTTTTGACTATTATAAATGATGTTGCTGTGAACATTCATGTACAAGTTTTTGTGTAGACATGTTTCGTTGCTCTTAGGTATATATCTAGGAGTGGAATTGCTGGGTCATATGATAACTATGCATAACTTTTTGAAGAACTGCCAGACTGTTTTCCAAAATGCTACAGCCATTTTACATTCCCACTGGCAATGTGTGAGGTTCTAATTTCTCCATATCCTTGTTATTGTCCTTTCCTAATATAGCTATCCTCGCTGGTATGAAGTGATGGCTCACTGTGTTTTGATTTTCATTTTCCTGATGGGTAATGATGAGCATCTTTTTATGTGCTTATTGGCCATTTGTACATCTTTGAAGAACTGTCTTTTCAGATCCTTTGCCCATTTTTAATTGGTTGTAAGTGTTATTACTGAGTTGTAAGTGTTCTTTATATATTCTAGATACAAGTCTCTTATCATATGCATGATTTGAAAAAAAATTTCTCTCATTTTGTGGGTGGTCTTTTCTTGAGGGCATCCTTTGAAGCACAAAAAAAATTTTTTTTTTATTTTGATGAATCCAGTTTAAGTATTTTTTCTTTTGTTGCTTAAACTTTTGGAATCATATCTAAGAATCCATTGCCTAATCCAAGGTCACAAAGAATTTCACCCATGTTTTCTATTAAAAGTTAAATGTTATTAGCTCTTACATTTAGGTCTTTGATCCATGTTGAGTTAATTTTTATATGTGGTATGATATAGGGGTTGAAATCCATTCTTTTTTGAGTGGATATTCAGTTTTTCCAGCACTACTTGTTGAAAACACTATTACTTCCCTACTGAATTGTCTTGGCACCCTTTTAAAAAATCAATTTGCTATAAATGTGTGCTTTACTTCTGAATTCTCAATTCTATCCCATTGATCTATACGTCTATTAGGATGCCAGAACTACACTGTCTTCATTCCTACAGCTTCTTAGTAAGTTTGGAAATCAGAAAGTGTGAGTCCTCCAACTTTGTTCTTCTTTTTCAAGATTGATTTGCCAATTTTGCCTTTGTTTTTGAAAGATATTTTTGCTGGGTATAGAAGTCTAGATTTAGTTTTTTAAAAAAAAATACAGCACAGATGTTGTTCCAAACTCTTTTAGATTGCATCGTTTCTGAAAAGAAGTCTGATGTCACCCTTCTCTTTGTTTCTCTGTATGTGATGTATCTTTATCTGGCTGCCTTTAAGTCTTTCTTTTCATCACTGATTTTGAGCAATTTGATTATGATGTGCTTTGGTGTAGTTTTCTTCATACTTCCTATGAGTAGGGTTTGTCAGACTTCTTGTATCTGTGAGTTGATAGTTGCTTTGTTTGTTTGTTTGTTTAATGTCTGTCTTTTATTTACTTATTTTTATTTTTTTGGTGGCTGACCAGTATGGGACCTGAACCCTTGACCTTTGTGTTACAACATCAAGCTCTAACCAAGTAAGCTAACTGGCCAGCCCTTTATTAAATCTGAAAAAATATTTTTCTGTCCCTCCTTTCTTTTGTCTCTTCAGGGACTCCAATTAAGCCAATTATATGCTACCTGAAGTTGTTGCATAACTCACTGATGCTCTTTTCATTAAAAATTTTTTTCTTTTTTTTTAATAGTTTCTATTGCTGCATCTTCAAGTTCACCAATCTTTTCTATAGTGTGTAATCTGATGTTAACACTATCCAGGGTTTCTTATCTTCCACACTAGAATTTCAATTTGGGCAGTTCAATTTGGGTATTTAAAAAAA